TATATTTCAATATTCCTATGAAATATTATATATTACTATGAAAATCTTGTCAATTATTACTCTCATTATTACACTTCTTTTTTCCATAACATGTTGCCCCAAAAATACATTAATATGCAAATTAGATTTAGTTTATAGATACATTATATATAACGAGAAAACCTGTTTATGGCCATTTTACACACATTTTGCATAAAGAAAAATGGTATATCAAATCATTCTGTTATAACATAGTTGAGAATCATCTTTATACAAAGTTTGGTAAAAAAAAAAAATTAAAAAAAATCCTGAAAACTAAAAATGTATTGGTGATTTTTAAAAAATCTATTGTTTTTGCCTATGCATGTTCATTCATGTCTTTTTATTTTTTTCCCCATATAGTCCCGATGTCCTCTACCAAAGACGTAGCATAATTTATGAATGAAATATCAGTTTTATTTATTTATTTTTTACATTTTTATAATGCTCTAACAATGTAATGACATGAAAAAAGAAAAAAATTTTCCTACATTTTTTTGCCGGGTCTCAGGAGGTTAAAACCAGGCCTACAGAGGAAAAGCAACAACAAAACTACTGAAGAAACATATACTGCAGTATCAGAAGATTAGAAATAAAAAAGTGAACTATGAGCTAAACTTTGAAAATTACTGTAATACATTAACTATAATTTTTTGCGTTACATTTATCAGAGAACTCACTGATAGGAGTCTGGATGAAGGACTTTATGAATGAACAGTTAGAGGTTGATGAAAGTTTTTTTTATTTTATTTTTTTTTATAAATAATATACTATGAACATGTAAATGTAATGTACTAGTTTATCTAAGCTCATAAGAGAGGGCACTGATAGACAGAATGAATGATGTCTGGGATAACCAGTATGAGAGACTAACTTTGAGGAACAGATCCGTGTCCACACATAGGTTATAACCTCACCAACGTGGTTTCAAACCATGTTACACTACCAGCACCAGTTTCGGGCTGAAAATATGCTGCTATTTGGCAGTGCACCAAGATGCAGTCCTGCTTATTTTGGAAACAACACAACATTCCCACAAGACATATTTTCACATAGTTACTGAGGTGATTCAGATTAATTATACTGATTTACAACTGAGATGAAACGATTTGCTTGTTAACTACAATTTGGGGTTATTAAATCCAGATTTTTTAAAGGTCAGGTTCCATTGGATGCCTTCTTATATATTTGCAAAATCTTTTGTTTATCTAAATCAAACTCATTTTAATCCAGCTCTGATTTGAACAGTCCCATGTCTGAACGCTTCAGAACCGCTGTAATGAAATGTTCCTGACTTACCCTCTCACCCATTGCCCTCTCTTCCTGAAACATTCAAAGTAAACTTGGCCACTGTTAAGCATCTAAATGGCGTAATAAGATATCATGGGACTAAATGTATTTTACGAGACTTTACGAGAAGCCTCTCATTCAAACCCCTAAGTAAACACGTCGTGGACACAGTTCGTGTTAAAACACAAAAAAATACCATTGTACATGGCAATACCATGTATTTAATAATGTATTAATAGCATTAAAATGCCTTAATTACCTTGTAAATGGTTCATGAGTAAGCTAATATATTTAGAGTATCTCGTACTTACCTTCATTCAGTCACTGTATCAAGGTGCCGCAACTGTAGCCTATTTTTTTTATGGTTGAAATGGAACAAGCACCGGCTAACAAGTATTGTTGTTGGTCTTTTATGTATTAAAAATATAAATTTAATAAAAATGCTATGTGAAAACACAAAACAAATACGGAAATATGCCACTTCATTTAGACTTGTCAACTAACCATAACAGTCACTAAACTAGTCACTACTCACAATACGTCCACATTGTTTTCTAACAGTTCGTTGACTGTGAAAATAACCTGTATTTAATTATTATAAATCTTGATATTCTGCCTTTACAAATGTTTAGATGTTTGAAAGGGCTGTAATATTTCCTGTGTGGGGGCAGGGGTGAAGTCACATTTAAACTACTTGGACACTGTGTACAAAGGACATGTTCAGTGATCCCACAAATAGACATTAAGTCAAAAATGAAGTCAGTTTCTCAGATAAAAGGGGGAATGAAGAGCATGCGGGTTTGATTTACATTATCTGTTCATTAAATTACTAATTACCCCCATGCATGTACATTAGTGGATCAAAACATAAAAATAACATCATGATAATTTATTTTGCATACAGATTAAAAACATTAGTTCCATTCAAATGTGCAGTCAGGAAGCAGTAAGTTACATACTTACATACTTACAACTGTATGCCTGCCTTCTGTTTTACCACAGATTCACCACTTAAGTAGCACAGTCTTTATTATTATTGCCATATTTTAATAATATGCAATAATTCAAATACAAATTATACACAAAATGTTGGTATATTAACTATAAACTGATTATCACTGGACTAATACTGGGAGGATGTTGTCATCCAGGTCGACTGTCCATGTGTGTCCCCATCTGAAAGGAACTTATATCCTCTCCGATGAATTCAGTCACTGTGGGGATGAGAAATTGTGGTAGAAATCATTTAATTGATTGATACAGATCTGTAAGACTCTAGTTAAAGGAATAGTTCACACATCTGTATCATGACATTCAAAAAAAAATTATTATTTTACATACATCTGATATTCAATATTATAATCATATAATGTTTTATATTAAATAATATTTAATACAAAATATTACAGTATTTTAGTTAATATTTTGCATATAATTATATATGTTAAATAATTATATTATATATATATAAAATATAAAATAATTATATAGTTACACTATCAATCAAAAGTTTTGTTTTTGAAAAGTCTATGTTCATCAAGTCTCCATTTAATTGATAAAAAATACAGTAAAAACTGTAATATAGTAAAATATTATTATAATTAAAAATAAATGTTCTATAATTAAAAATTATGAATAAAATTAATTTCTTTAAAAAAATTGGAGAAAAAAATACAGATTTTAGTTTTTAGTGTTTTTTTTTTTCTTTTCTTTTTTTAGTATTTTTTTAGACAAAATAGTACAGAATTTGAATATGAGCAATTAATCGGTTTTCGGCAAAAACATGAACGTAATTATTGGCTTATCATTCAAAATTTAAATATCAGTCCATCTCTAGTATGACACATAAAATCAATTATACCCACCTTCTTCTAGTGTGATGTGCTGCATTGGTGAAGGGCCCGTGAAGTCCGGGGGTCCCTCCAACTTCAGACCGGGACCCGTGTCTCTTTCAGCGGGATGCATCTGGTGCTCCCAGCTCTCGTATTGCCAGTATGGAGGTGGGCACAGGTCCTGATAGTGGCTAGTGTTTGATGGAGGTGAGGAACACATCTCTTGGGGGCAAGGACAGTGTGGATATGGGGAGTGAGAGAGAGGAGGAAGGGGCGAGGTTGAGATCGGACTGCTGGCAGGGAATGGGCTCAGAGAGCAAGAGTGAGAGGGAGAAGGTGAGGAGGACAGATAGGGAGAGTCAAGCCACGGAGAGGGAGATGGGGAGGAGGAAAGAGGTTGTGAGGCTCTTGGGTACATGGGAGGAAGAAGCTCCGTGAAGCCCAGCTCCAGGCTCTCAAAGCTGGGATGCCTTTCGGTCAGGGCACCTCGACCTCCACCGTCCTCGGTAACCTCTGGTTTATGCCAGTAGTCCTCCTGGTAGCCATGCGAGGAGTAAGAGTACTCATTGGGATATGGAGGCAGGTGGAAAGACATGCTTCTGTCATCTGCGGATAGGTCTGACCTCATGTCAACAGTGCTGCCGCTCCCCATGGGGCAAAGCGTCACCCCTTCCAGGGGCAAGCTAGAGGGACGGGACAGCAGCGGATCTTCCTCTTTAAACATGACTAGGAAATGAGGAAAACACAGAAGCCAACAGATTATAGCACTTAGTTACTTTATTGTGCACACCTCCATGTATTGAAATGTATGACTCAACATCACACATGTACCATGATAATCCAAAATCATATTTTATAAATTTAATATAAAAAGACATAAAAATATTATAAATATATTTATTACCTATTATAAATTATCAAATTATTGTAATAAATTGTTTTCTATATAATTATATGTAATATTAAATAATTATTTCATATAATTATTACACAACCATTCAAAAGTCTGGGGTCGGAAAGATTTTTTAATGTTATTAAAAGAATTTCTTATGCTCATCAAGGCTGCATTTATTTGATTAAAAGAAATACAGTAAAAACTAATATAATATTGTAAAATATTATTATAATTTAAAAGAACTTTTTTCTATTTTAATATATTTTACATTTAAAATGTAAGTTCAATTTTCAACAGCCATTACTCCAGTCTTCAGTGTGATCCTTCAGAAATCATTCTAATACGATGCTTCTGGTGCTCAAGAAACATTTATTATTATTATCAATTTTGAAAACAGCTGTGCTGTTTAATATTTTTGTAGAAACTGTTATGCATTTTTTTTTCTGGAGTCTTTGATGAATATAAAGATCAATAGAACTGCATTTATTTCAAATAGAAACCTTTTGTAATATTATACATGCCTTTTCACTTTTTATCAATTTAATGCATCCTGAAAGAATAAAAAAATATAGTTTTTTAAAAATAAGATAAAAATTGTAAAACTGCTCTTCTGTGATGCTATTTGGAACATTTTATTGGAGATCAAAGCAACATATGATGCTTGAGCTGAAAGTGCCTTCAGATTATGAAAGAGAATCTGTTCTTTATTACACACAACATGCAAAAGACATATTTTGCATCTCTTGTCAACAGTACAGATAAATACCATGTGCAGAGGGATTCTCCCAAGTAAAGCATAGCTAATGGCTGCCTGTGTAACACTCACTGGGCAGATATTTAAAGCAATGCGTGCTGCTCCTCTTCCTCTTCCCATTGGACACGTACAGGCAGACAGATACTGGGTGGTTCAGTGAAAGATCGTTATAGGCTGGCACCTGTACACATAGCAAATTCTGCACCATAGAAAATACAGACATAATTTGTTCATTTATTTTCAATTTACACACAGTGTAAATAAAAAACAGTGACCTTTTTCATAGATACGGTTTATGGTCAATTTACCTCATTGCTTTTGTCCACATGTGCCTCCTCCTCCCACTGGACTTTGCCATCTACAAATAAAAAATATGTAATAAATACAACATCAGCACTGATTCTGTGATATTATGTCAGTTCTTTCCTTTGAATTCATTAAGCTACAATGTTCACTACCGTTAGGTCAATAAATATTTCAATGTTTTTTAAAGAAGTATCTTATGCTCACCAATGCTGCATTTATTTGATTAAAAATAATATATTTAAATGAATATATTTTAAAATGTACAGTAATTTATTCCTGTGATGGCAAAGGTGAATTTGCTCTAGCCATTACTCCAGTCTTCAGTGTCACATGGTCCTTCAGAAATCATTCTAATACGCTGATCTGGTACTCAAGAAATATTTCTTATTATTATCAATGTTGAAAACAGTTGCACTACTTAATAATGTTTGTGAAAATCGTAATATACAGTGGGTACGGAAAGTATTCAGACCCCCTTCAATTAATTCTGTGTTTTTCTGTCAATATGGGGTGCTGTGTGTACATTAATGAGGAAAAAAAATTAACTTAAATGATTTTAGCAAATGGCTGCAATATAACAAAGAGTGAAAAATTGAAGGGGGTCTGAATACTTTCCGTACCCACTGTATATTTTTCCGGACTCTTTGACGTTCAAAGGAACAGCTTTTCTGGTAATGTGCATTAATGTAAGCCTACTACAATACCTGATCCTCTCTCCATAAAGAAAACTCTGGAGGTGGGTAGAAAGTTGGTCCCACCTAGAAGTAGTTCCTCGCCTCCCTCTGTTGAACAGGAAGTAAGACTGATAGACTCCACTACAGGAAGCTCCTGTGCAGAGCGCTGTGCTGCAGGCAGAAATTTAAGCTTAAATTTGAGTGAAGATCATAGAGTATAGGATGAAAATAAAAAGAGAAAAAGAGACTAATTACACATAGTAGTTTCAGTTAAGCAGAATTGTGATTTGCCACACTCACAGCATTCAATGGGTAAAGACGCCACCTGCAGCGCTAAGACTCGTCCTGAGGGGATGATGGGTGGAGACAGAGGAAGGTGTGTGCGGAACACCAAACGCACTCGAGTGTTCTTTCTCCCTACATCTGTCTCTCCTCTCCGGAGTTCAATGTCAGAGTTCCTCAGCTTTAGAATACCTGCACAGTCAATGCTGAGAGGGAAACAGGAATTCAGGTATGATCACTTACTGAGGTGTCTATGACATACAGTCAGGGCTCAAGAGTCTTACAGGGCAGTCATGTTGTTCTCTGGATTGAGTGGGATGTCCAGGAGTTTGGTGCCAGCCTGGATGCTCTCCTGACTAGCTGTGCCAACCATCTTCCCTGTTACTCTGTGTGGAGACAAGTATTTTACATGTTAAGCCATGGATCTACCAAAAACACTGTTGTTCAATACTGCGAAATATCATGTGAGTGTTTTACCTGTGTATTTGATAAAAAGGATGAGGACGTATTGATCTGTCATCAGCAGTTCCTACAAACACCTGTAAGGAAAGCGGCTGTCTCTCAGTATAACCTACAAGCTGGACAACAGATAAAAAAATAAAAAAAAGAGCAAAAAACTTACATCAATTCAATTAGCTGAGGAAATTATTTTACTTTAAAGGGGTCATATGATGTTGCTAAAAATAACATTATTTGGTGTAATGAAATGTGTTTATGCGCTTTAAGGTTCAAAAACATTATTTTCCACATACAGTACATTTTTGTTTCTCCTCTATGCCCCGTATTTCTGAAATGTGTCGATTTTTACAAAGATTTTGAAAAGCGAGGTGTGCTCTGATTGGCCAGCTATCCAGTGCGTTGTGATTGATCGCGCCACGTAAACATAAAACCATGTCTGCATTTGTGATCGGAAAAATTACAAACAACAAGCCCTACTCTACACTGCTCAAAACTCGCATTTGAATCGTCAGTGGCAAATCCTTTAAATATAAAAAAACTTACTTACAGGCTATGAGTCAGAACAGCCGGCATTGTAGTCTACTCTACCAGGATCAGGAAACAGTCCTCTATAAAATGTGCTGCACACATCTGAATATTTGTGTTGAACTGTTCTGGAACAGTGTTGTAAATACAACTTAACCACTGATTTCTAGTCGTGTCCTCTTTTGGAAGACCAAACAAAGTAGTTTCGCTTTCACAACGAAACACACAGCGGGCTAGAGCGGCCGGCGGCCGGCAGTCTTGCGGCAACCACATGTGACGACCCCGGGCTGCAACTTTATAGATCTTCTTTATGCACCAACAGCTTGTAACACTTCAAAGAGAAAGGAAAAATTTAAATCGCATCATATGACCCCTTTAAGTAATTTCAGTGTTTTCTCATTTCTCTTTTTAAATAGTGGCTGTTTTCAAATATGTGAAATTCCACAGAGGTCATGCCTTTTGTATTGATTTATTTATTTGACATATTTATTAATTTATTGTTTCTTTTACTGCAAATCAGTAATTTAAGAAAGTAATACAGAAAGTCGCACAATTACGAAGTAACAGCACCTACTGTACAGGATTGTACATTATAGCGTCACCTTCACTACTGGATGGCCTCCAGGTGATGCCTTTACCGCTCCTCGACTTCCTTCAGTTTCATAATGAGCGCGATGGTGTGGTCTGGGCTGTACCTCTATGCGCAGTTCATACTGGTCAAACTGTGAAGGCAGCGGCCAGTCAAGTGGCGGCAGTGCATTAGATCTGGGGCAGGATTAAGGAAGCAGAGACAATGTGAGGTAAGAGGTCAAAGATCAACATTATTCTGATTTCTATCAGAATCTAAACCTAAAATAGTTTAGTGTGCAAAACAGCATGCTTCATTCCATGATTACTGTTTCAAACTGTAGTATGCTATCACATTATCACATGATGACCTCAGAATACTGCATGTTAAATTCAGAAAATGGAGTATATGTATCATCGTGGAAATAAAAATGGTTGTTTTCTGTAAAAAGACTTGACAGTCTTACCAAATAATCAGTAAATGAGTTTATATAATATATATGTATATATACACACACATAATAAATTTCAAGCTTACATATATTTAAAGTTTAAATTAATACATTTTTATTTTATTTTATTAATTTAAAATGTAATGTGATAACGTGAGGGAGGTCATGTGACAATATATCATATTGCTCTTGAAATTTTTGCATTCTTTTGCACATTCTGTTTTCATGTAGTATTCAGTGCATAATTCACAGTATGCAAGAAGTTGTGCATAAACCTAAAGAGAGGACTGTGAGCGCTGGCCCTGGTTCTGCCCCAGCCCAGAGCAGGAGGCACAGACAGGTAGTCCATCCCTAGTGGGGGAGGCTCCCTTCTCAGCTGAGCAACCTCTGGGAGGGGGCAGGAAGAGGTCTGAACGAGTGTCAGCTCTGGTTCCATATCTCTTGATGACATCTGGATTAGCACAGGGATTGTGAACACCCATAAACACACCAGGATGGTCATTTGACAGAATATAAGTGAATTCTTCATTTGATTACCAAGAATGGACCATCAGTGAGTTTAGCAGACATATTTAAAAAAAATCACCTGTTCCAGAGAGGTCTTCCTGGTCTTTTGTGGGATGTTGAGTTCACAGCTCGCTGGAGCCTGAGACTGAGCCGAGGTTTCTCCCGTGTCTGGGAGGGAGGAGGGATCTTCGGAGTAGCTGCTTCTGCGGGAGGTGCTGGGGGAGGCCAGTGGGGAGTTCCTGCGCTTTTTGCCCCCAGGAGACGTGGGACGCGAGGAGGGCGATAGGCAGAAGTGGGCAGCAGCTTCATTGAGCTCGTCTTCCTCCACCAGGAGAGAATCACAGCTGGAAGCTGGACTCAGCCATCCACGAGATGAGGAACTGGAAGCAGGGCTGGGGCTGGGACTGAGGGAACCTGCCCCTGTCACGATGTCACGGTAAGAGTCCAGCAGGGGCAGGTATAGACGCTCCCTGTCCCAGCCACCCCCGCCGTCCCAGTAACTTCCCCCTGCTGGACCTGAGTCCTCTTCAGGGGAGATAGTGGTGATCTGGATGCTGGGGCACTCAAGCACTCTAGACTCTGATACCTAAAACAGAAAAAGAAGAGGGTGCGACATCATTGTGGGCAAAAAAAGAAAAAAATAATTGTGATATCATTGAACTATTACAGCAGCGCTGCAACACAAATAATGAATCTACAGCATGACTGAAACATACAGCAGTGTTTTTATGAATGAAAGATTCTTGTCAGGCAGTTCTTTTTAGTGAATCAAAAATATACAACATGTAGACTGACACCTGAATGAAACTCTCTTATCAGTCAGTTGCGCAGGTTTTTTAAAGTGAATCAAAAACAAGCAGCACAACCAGTGTGGTCTGACCCCTGAACGATATGACTCTTCTGAATCAGTTATTTTTAGTAAATCAAACATATACATTTTACAAATACCTGTAAATTTTAAATCAGTGTAGTTACTGACTAGTTCTTCATATGCAGTGTTATTTACCATTATTTATATACTATTATAGCATTTATTAATACTGTGTATTTTTATTGTAATTTTCATTTTAGTTTAAGTTTTAAGAATTTTGTTATATGCTTTTGTCATTTTCATTAGTTAAAATTTTTCAAAATGATTTAGCTTTTTAATTTTTTTTTAAGTTAAGGTTCTTCCTCTAATATTTATTTTTTTATTTCAGCTTTACTTCAATTAATGAGAACTATTTTTTATAGTTTTAGTTAACAATACTGTTTATATGCCAATGTATAGTTTAATATTAGTTAAAGATCAGACTTTTCTCATCATTTGGCAATGAACTTGCATTTCTTTTTTCCATAAAAGTACTAAAAGAATCATTAATGGGACCATTAAGGAACCGGAATTGTTATGAGGAATCAAAAGCGAGACTGGAATCATTAAATTTTTTACGATTCCACAGCCTATTCAATTTTTGAGTGAAACAAGACATGCAAAGAGTAAGGACTTGATCTTATCCTTCACAATGAGATTACAAGGACAAACATGTTTTTCTTTGGAATAATTTACAGATGAATGATGTACAATAAGGTCAAAAACACGTATTAAATGAATATGGTGGATTTTGGTTTGATTTTGGTTGACTTTAAATGCTAAAGGATACTTAAATTTAATTGAACTCTAACATTTATTTGCAGCCCTTATGTGCCAAAATAAAAGATGCACAACAGCTCATGGCAACCAATTCTGTTCACAATAAACATTACTGGGCAACAAAAACGAACTCCTGAAATTAAAACCAGACCTCTGGATTTATTTCACCATAATTAATCACAATGTGTAACACGATGCTTGTATCAGGATGTTCTAGAAATCTACAATTCAGGCAAATGTGCCTCCCACCTGTATTGATCTTGCTGGCAGACTCTCATAAGTCCCACTGAACTCCCTGACTAATGCCCGTCTGGGGGGTGGGGAATGCATCCCAGCCCTGCGACCGGCTGACGATGGGATACCCACGGGTTGGCCAGCCTGTGCGGAAGTCAAGTGGGTATCTGTGAAAAAAAAAAAAAAGATTATTGTACGTGGCAAATCACAAGCTTTCCGAACTGCAAGCATATGCATATGGTATAAACAATTGCTGAAACACGAGACACGAGGCCTCTCATTGGAAAATCATAACAAACACAGGGAAGCCTTTGTGGAGACGTCATTTATTATTTCCACAAGTACACACAGACTTGTTTACCTCTTGTCTTGAGATTGATTTCTGAAATCTCACAACTCTCAAAACTGCAATCTGCCACACCAAAACATTAGCATAGCAATGACAATTTCCACAAAAATGCTAGGTTCTTTAGTTAATGTTTCTACAAAAAACTGGGGTAACTCTAAACACATCAGCAAAAATCCAGTAACTTTATTTAATTTGTATTCTTATTTTATATACTTTGGCTCTGTCATGAGGATTTTTGAGCTCACTTCACATTCCTTCTTGCACTAATAGTAAATATGCCCATTTTAATGAAAAACATAATTATGATTATTATAATTGTAATTAAAATAATATTTTTACCCAACATATATTCATTTAACATAAATAATTTAATTTAAAAAATATTAAAATTATTTACAATAAATTAATTACATTTTTAACACTTAAAAAACTATTTGTCTGATTGAATGTTACAGATATTATAAAAGCTACTTTAAAATCAACCTTTCACACAGGAAAAGTCCATGTTTGCAGTCACCGCTCTATTGTTGTTGTAAACTATGGTTACTATGGTAAGTGTTTGCAGGGCAATTGTGAAGTTCAGCATTCAGGACCTACACAGCAATTTCTCATCCTTCAAGTTGTTGTTAAGGGCACAAGAAAATAAATAATTAAATATGGCAACGCTTAAAAATATAGTAAATATCTGAAGAAAGCACTTGCAAAGAGATGCGGTGTGGACAGAAACCTGAAGTGCATGTTTCCACAACTTCACACCAGAATGAAGGCGGAGGATGGGTAATATAAAAGGAGGGAATATTGGAGGGATGTATCTAAATGCATGCTCAGTAAACAGAGATTGAGGGTTCAGGTCCAGATGGCAGCTGTTAACTCTGCTCACACACACAGCTGATTAAAAACACATTGCACTGTGCTCCACACTTACCCATAAACACACGCACACTTCAGCCGATAAAACTTAGTTACATGGGCAACATCTGAGTCAGACTGCATTAACATATAAGCATTCTTTAGAGACATTAAAAATTGTGCCCCTTTCTAAGAGTAAAGACATTCAAATTCTTCTAAATTAAGCACAGTGTACTGCCTATGGGTCAACATAAGGATATAAGAAGGATGTCCAAGATGATGAAAAGGTTAAATCCTTTAAAAAGCAAGCTCAAAACACAAGATCAACTTCTTTGAATTTATATGGGTTTCATATATTTTTAAAAATATTTCTACATAAATCTAATAACTACAAAAATGTCAAGTGGCGTAATAAACATCAAAAACCTACTCAAATATTTTCTTTCCACCTTAACTAAACTGTCCACAACTTAGGCCTAAATATTATTTTAAAATTAATTCAAACATATCTGTGAATGTAAAACAAAATTGATCCATTAATATAAAGAAGTGCCCTTAAGATGACTTAATCTGACCTGAACAAATCGTTCCTTCTCATAAAAGGTGAAAATGTGTGATTTAAAAAAAAAAAAAAAAAAAAGAAATGAATGACCCGGACTCACCATGAAGGTCCTTTCTATTTCTATATTTTTTAGTCACGTGACAACAAAATGGCTTTAATTGCTGATTTGCCAGATGTTTTTTTTTTTCAAATGCTAATAATATTTTAAAGCAAAATTGCTTAACTGCATATTTAAAAGAAATAATAATTAGCCAAACTACATATTCCACCTTAAAAAAAATTATGAGAAAAATATCAGAAATTGTCACGGTGCGTGCGGGGAGATGAAGCGAGGACTCAATTGCAGGAGAAATGGTTATTTATTTTAATAATAAAAATGAAACAAAAACAAACTCAAACCACCCCGAGGGGGAAAAACAGACAGGCAAGCCTAAAGCGGCACCACATGCAGACACGAAACACACACAATGAGAAATGACGGATCAGCACAGAATGACAGACACCAGGAGAATAAATAGGAAACCAAACAAGGAGGCTAACGAGGGAGACACAGGTGGAGCAACTTAAACAATAACGAGGTAACAAGATGGGAGGGGCAAGACAATAGACAGGAGAGAGCACATGGCAACAGACAACACAAGCCATGTGCTCACCGAACACAGTCATCTGGTGGCCCTCCTGGGCACACCCGCTGAAGACTGTGACAGAAATGACTTTTAATTCAGAAATTGAAAAAATTTTATTTTTTTCTTTTTATCGTCTGAATAGTATTTCTATGTATTTTGGGGGGAAAACATTATCCTCACGTCATTGACCCATTTACATTTATTTTATATTTTTAAAATAGATGTACATTTATTTATCATGTACATATTATGTAGGATTCTGATATAGCCTAATTAATGAAACGCTAATTATTTATCCAAAGCTACTAACACAGCGCCCTATAGTAAAGTAACTGACTGCTCAAGGGGACAACAGAGATAATTTATATGTTAAGCTTTACTAGGTTCTAGGTTTTTAGACCTAGAACATCAGTTACCAGCCCAGACCTATAACCACTCATGTGCACCACCACTCATACCGGCTGGCTCATGGTGCGTCTGGCCGCTCTCGGACTCTTCTGGGCCGCAGCGGCTCTGGCGCGGCGGATCCTCCTCGAACACGAGCTTGAACTCGAACTCTCCCTCCTCCCATCCCGAGCCCGGCGCGGCCCCCATCGCTCACTCCGAGAAAAGTACGACCGAGGCCGGCTACAGATATATCACTGACTCTCTCTCACTTCTCAATATCGGCTCCGTTTAAAACTCATGGAAGTCATACAGCTTTTCCAGAATGTCACGGTGCACGATCTGCGTTCTCCTTCGTGCGCCTTACTTTTATTACAATAAAGAATTAAAAGTTATCCTCAAGGTGAAGTATCACATTTGCATGGATCATTTTCTTATCTCCGCATCGATCTTGCAGGTTATTATTTGCTAATCTCTTTTAACTTTTTTTCTGCCCAGTAGATTCCCTTGCGATTTCCGTGACAGTCGGTTATTATAACTTCATCACACGAACTTTCATCGTCCAGAACCGGCCATACTCACAGCCTCAAGTCCCACATACGTTCACGTTCAATAACAAATATCCGTTGAACTGACATTCATCCCATAACTCCTCCACCGCCATAGAGCAAAAAGGTTATATCAAGTTCTTTTTCGTTCTTTACCCTTAATTGCCTTTGGGCGGGTTCCTCAGTACCCTTACGCCCTCCCTATTGGCCATCTATCCTGTCAATCAACAAAGCCCCTATTTTTTAGCTTTACATGCCCGCTTTTGCGGCAAAGTGTGTTGATTGGCCAGTGAGCACAACCACATATTTTAGAGTGAAGTATAACTTTATGATACCCACAAGAATCTATTCCAACACACATTTTTTTAAAGCAGAAAGACATTCTCTTCTGTCCAATAGAGAATTCCCTGGACAGGCACCAGTGAAAGCCTTGTCTGGCAAACAGGTTCTGAGAAATACATGTTTCATTCCTTTTCCACATGCTTAACACAACATAGTGGCTATTTTTGTATTTTTGTTTCAGACAAGACACTGATGCTGAAGGCTGATCCATCCATGACGCCATAGCGATAGGCATGCCCTCTCTCTCTTCCCATCATACTTTCCCCCTTCTTTGTCCCTCCCCTTCCTTATCCCCAACTCTTTATCCCAGTTCTTCCTCCTTTCCCTCCCACTGTAAGATCTGTTTCTCATTATCCTCTGTAGTCTGCACTCTGTCTGAGACGGGAGATGAAAAACTTAAATAAACATGTTCTCTCTCTCTCCCTCTTTCTCCTGCTCTCTGACAATTCTCACAATAATTATCTTTTGTCTTATTTTAAAGCTCGTCTCATGTTTGATCCTTGGAAGTGAGCTTTTCATGGCATCTGTTGCTTGATAGAGTTGATTCACAAAGGCATCTGTCTGGCATTCATCAGTGCTGGAATTACATTCCCATTTAATTTATTGATGTGAATAGCCATAATTCTGGAAGAGAATAGAGCATATAAAGAATATGAGCCTTTTTGAAATGGGATTTTATGGTCTTAAGCACAGGGCTTGATTGTGAGGCGGCACATTTAATCAAGTTATAAAAATATCAAGAGTTATGCATGAGCTTCTCATCAGCAGCAATCTGTGCTGTCTTTAGCTATATTTACACACTAGACCAAAAGCACATTTATGGGAGAATGTTGCCATCCTGTGGACAACAAAGATAGCTAGTATGTTTAGTTCCCACACAGCCTCCAATCACGTCACAATGACATATATGCAAATCTGATATTACTATAAACTTCATGCAAAGCAATGATTAAGCTGCTCACTTTGGTGCTCCACTGAACCCAGTCATGAGAGTTTGGAGAAGCTTATGTTACTCATGGGAAACAGGTCACTGAATAATGACCCATAGGTCAGAAATAAGGAAGTGAATTTTCTTGCTAAGTTTTCCTCTCTCTCTCTCTCTCTCTCTCTCTCTCTCTCTCTCTCTCTCTCTCTCTCTCTCAGAAATTTCTCATATATAACAGTACTTTCCCATTTGGAGCATGGTTAGGAATGTGTCATATTTTCGATAATGGACATTGATAGTCTCTACTCATGCAACGAGTTAGTGTGTGAAAATATATTTCCCTATTCACTGACATCTTTATACCATATCTAAAAGGGAGTTTTCACAGCAATGTTTTTAGTTTTTAGTTTGAAGAACGTTTTAACCCTATAAAGCCTATACTGTAGCCTATACCTGTACTGTCCTTCTTCAGGGTACATGTGTCTTTTTGCTGTGAAATCTTAACTGATTTTTATGAAGTAGAAGTAAGAAGAACTTTTATGTTGTTAGTAATATTTTATTATATAATCTTTTTCTTTTTCTTTCTTTCTTTCTTTCTTTTTTTAGAAAAATCATGTTAAAAAATAAAATGTAAGAATCAGATATGATACATCGAGCATATTTTGAGGAACAAATTTTATTTGTACATCTCTCAGTCTTAATTGCATTGCATGTTTGCATGTTTTACCCCACACAATTAAAATTTCTATCTATATTTCTCTCTCTCTCTCTCTCTCTCTCTCTCTCTCTCTCTCTCTCTCTCTCTCTCTCTCTCAGAAATTTCTCATATATAACAGTACTTTCCCATTTGGAGCATGGTTAGGAATGTGTCATATTTTCGATAATGGACATTGATAGTCTCTACTCATGCAACGAGTTAGTGTGTGAAAATATATTTCCCTATTCACTGACATCTTTATACCATATCTAAAAGGGAGTTTTCACAGCAATGTTTTTAGTTTTTAGTTTGAAGAACGTTTTAACCCTATAAAGCCTATACTGTAGCCTATACCTGTACTGTCCTTCTTCAGGGTACATGTGTCTTTTTGCTGTGAAATCTTAACTGATTTTTATGAAGTAGAAGTAAGAAGAACTTTTATGTTGTTAGTAATATTTTATTATATAATCTTTTTCTTTTTCTTTCTTTCTTTCTTTCTTTTTTTAGAAAAATCATGTTAAAAAATAAAATGTAAGAATCAGATATGATACATCGAGCATATTTTGAGGAACAAATTTTATTTGTACATCTCTCAGTCTTAATTGCATTGCATGTTTGCATGTTTTACCCCACACAATTAAAACTACAGAGCTTTGATCACAAAACTAAAATATAATCCAAAACATATTATTGGGACATATAGAGGCCTCTGAATAAAAAGTGACTTTTTTCACTTAAAGGGTTAATTCACCCAAAAATGAAAATTAGCCCATAAATTACTCACCCTCAAGTCATCCTAGGTGTATATGACTTTCTTCTTTCAGACGAATCCAGTCGGAGTTATATTAAAAATTGTCTTTGATCTTTCAAGCTGTTTCATGGCACTCAGCGGGTGTTGCATGCATCAGTCCAAAAGAAGTTAAATAAAATGCACCCATCCATTAAAAAAAAGTGTTTCACATGGCTCCGGGGGGTGAACAAAGGCCTTCTGTAGAGAATCTATGCGTTTTTGTAAGAAAATATCCAAATTCAAAACGTAATAATCACTTTAATGTAGCTTGCGCTCACTGTTGTACACTGGAAGCAGTTCCGGGCGGATGACGTATGAGGT